GCAAATGGAAATAAAACAAACAAATAAATATAATAAAAATCTATTGATTTTATCTTAAATGCTATTTTTAAATTATAAAAAAACTTACAACTATTTAATTAAAAATTCAAATAATTAGTAAAACGTGTGTAAAATCTAATCAACAAAAAAACAAATCATTAAAATTGTTTTCTTAAGCTATAAATTCTATATTTGTTTGATGTAAATGCATTGCACTCCCAATTGAAGTCCAACTTAACTAATATATTAAAATTAGATTTAAAAATATTTATTGCATTTTAATAAAAACATTTTCTAATAATACTAAATTAATTAAAAAAAATTGTAATATTATTATAAATATAATATTAGTCAGAATCTAAAATTTATTATTAAACAAAAATATCAAAAATAGCAAAATATATTCTAGTTTTATATTATTATAAATTATTAATTAAATAACAAAAATAGTCAAAATTTGTAATAATAAACTAAAAGATTACACTTGACTGAAATTATTACACAAATTTGAAAATCATTTGACAATTTTTTACAAATCCTAAAAATTTTATGAAATCAAACAAATCAATATTAAACGTAGCATTACTAATACTAATATATAAGTATTATTTTTTTAATAAACAAAAAAACTACTCAAATTATTAAAATAAAAATGTATAATTAAATATAATATTTAATATTTTATTTACGATTATTTTCTTCATTGATTGCATACAATTTAATTTTGTAACACACTTACAATTTTTTCGTTTATATAAACCTTAAAAATGCAATTAATGACAAATAAAAACAAAACTATATATAGCATACAAAACAAATATTTTTTATATTATATTTTATATCAATAAATACTATATAGTCTATACTGTATATATATTAGTGTTGGAAGAAAAAAGAGAAATTTCTAGAAAGTTCTAAAAGAAATTTCTATATATATATATATATATATATATATATATATATATATATATATATATATATATATATATATATATATATATATATATATATATATATGGATAGTGATCTCCATGTTAATTTTTTTTATCTCGATATTTCCTATCATATAACAATACATTAAATATTATTATTAGTATTTTAATTATTAATTAAATTAAAAAATTAATTAAATTATATTAAACTATGATATATATAATAAAATGATGAATAAAAATTTACAAAACTGATTATTATTAAATAAATATAATTTAGGTATTTCATTTGTATAGTACTGTATAATATTATATGTATATAATTATATGTATAGTATTATATCTTATTAATATAGTATTAAAATAGCTATAGATATGGGGATTCAATAGTATAACAATAAAGTTAAATTTCTATAGAAATTTATTGCTGAGAAATTTTCTAGAAACTTTCTCTTTGCCCATCTCTAGTATATATATAAATATATATTTTTTTAAACATATAATATATTGTAACATTATTTTATTAATCAAATTTATTTATATAACTATTTATTATTATTGGCATATTTTATACCCAAAGTTAGAAATAATTCTATACATGTATTGAAAAATTTAATTTTAATATATTGATATAAACATAAGATTTTTTAACAAACAAAAATAAAAATGTTATAATAATTAGTGTTTAATTTAAATTATAGATAAATACTATATATGGTCTTAAAAATTATGTGTTAATTATATAAATATTTTTTAGTTATTTTAAGTTTTAGTTTGTAGGAGATAACACTCAGTGAAAATTATATAATATTTATAATGCCGTAAAGTTATATATAATATTTTAATGACTTTATTGTTAGTTTAAATAAAAAATAAAGGAGAAGACGTGAGAAAAGCAAAAATTTATAACTAGTTTTTCACTAATTATTTCAATTTTTATGCATTCAATGTATTAAAAAAGATTTTTAATTAGTAAATAAAAACTATAGAAATATAATTTATGTTTACATTAAGAGCAAAAAAATAAAGGAAAATGTTTTTTTAGAAACATTATTTAAATTTATTTTTATTATTTTTTATTTATATAATATATAATGTATAATTTTAACTTTGAATTATTATTTTTTATATTTTACTTTAATTATTTAATTAAAGGAAACACATCAAGGATAATGCCGTTATATACTATATGTAACACACTATAAGCATGGTTATTTACTTAGAAAAAATATCTTATTTAATAATAAATTTTTAAATTATTACTAATTAATTAAAATTATTAGTTAATTAGACTTTTTTATTAAAATTAAGTTTGTAAAAAAATAATTTTGTTGTAATGTTATTTATATACAGTATTTCATTAATTATTTAATGACATCTATTGATAAGCATCGCATAGATTGTACATTATTAGTGTTTAGTGAATAAACTGAACTAAATTTTGCCATTTTGTAGGACTGGTCTCTCATGTCTATACCATTTGGACTATAAGTTTACTTATAATATATAATATTATTAGTTTGATCTCAAAAAAGATAAAATTTTGATCGAAAACCACACAAAATAAAACAAAATAAACTGAGAAACTAATCGCACATAAGTATTGATTAAATATGTGATAAAACGCTATGTTTTTGTATAAATATTGAATAATATTTTAAAGATAATCACATAATATATTTTAATATTATTACACAAAATTAAATTACACACAAATATTTCAAATATTTTACTCGTAAATATCAAAATAGTCGGCATTTAATAATCAATATATTGACAAAAATTCACTTCATAAAGTATTTTCACGTTTTTATTTTATTTTATTTCAGGATTTATTTAATGTTTATAAAATTCACATAAAAACTAAACTAATTGCAAAATTATAAAATCGTTAAGTTTTTTATTGTTTGTTTGCAAATAAATATCTTGTTGTCACAAAAAAGTTTACTCTAAAAAGTAAGACAAATAACATTTAAAATATCATAATATTGATAATAATAATAATAATACTGATATTTGTTTAATTATTTTAATTATTTTTATAAACATAAGTGCTTTTTAAGTAAGGTATTAATAAATATAAAAAAGATAATAAAGTTAAATTTAATTGAATTTTGTCTAAGAGTGCTAATCATTAATAATCAATCAAAATATAAATCACTCATTAATCATAAAGTTTGATAGTTTTTAAAATTGTTATTTTATTCAACATTATAGCTAATAAAAATTCTTAATATAACAAAAAACTAATTATATTATTAAATTGTTTCTCTTAAACAAAATCATTAAAACTTGATATAAATGTATACTTATAAACACATTTTGACAAATTTTAAATTAAATAAATCTATTTTACATTTATATAATATATACATTAAAATATATGATATGCTATTATATGAACACTATTAACGTCTAATCATTTAAAATAAAAACTACAAATAAATTGAATGTATTATTTAAATAACAATAATTGCCGACACTTTTATTGCACATTATTATTATTATTACACTATTATTCAAGCAATTGTATAACATATCTATAATGTGAATATTACTGAACAGTATAATACAAATGTTAATAAAGTTGCAAAACATAGTCTCACTTATGATATATTCATAAACTTAATATTATAGGACAATCTCTTGTTGTTTTTATTGTAGTAATGAAAACAAAATCATGTGTTCACAAGATTCCCGTCCCGTCTGATTTCACTTGATATCAATGATATGTATTGCAATTTGCAATATAAGAAAGATATTGAAAAAATCTAACAAAACATATGGAGAAACAATATAAGTCACAAAAAGTTCATATTTAAAAAACATTAAACAAAAAATTGAAATTTAAAAAAGACAGGACAGGTTTGTTTATAAAAAATACTAAAACATTTATTTATTAAAAATTAAATATAATAAATACAAGTTGAATAACTATTTATCAGAATATTTAATATTATTTAATTTATATACTATTAAAATTAGACTTCAAAATATCCATTAAATATTTTGAATTTAAATTAATGCTTATTTTATTTATAACAATTAAAAATTACTTTTGAATATATAACTAATTGACAAAACTTGTAAAATCGTATTATGATTTTCAAAGTGACAAAACGGGACAGAAAATCATATAAATAAATCACTTCTACTTTGCGATACATTATCATAGGTTAACATTTTATTTAAAGTACAAAATGTATTCAATTTATCATTTATATCATAATTACTTTGGCTTGAAATACCTGGCGCTCCCTTTTATCTTAAAATATATTTTTTTGTGTTTCTAATAGAAATATAATAATAACAAAATTAATTTTATTAGTTAATATTATATATATATATTTATTTTATAATATATTTACAACAAAATCTAAAAATGGTCTAAAATTCTACAATTTATAAGATTTTTTATTATTATGAACTACAGTATTATCTATATATTAAACACATTTGTTTTATGCAAATGTAAAGACAAACATAAAATGAAAATAATTTAATACATAAATATAAAATAACAATTAATTTATTACAAAAAAACAAATAAATTAATTTTTTAATATATAATTATATCTTTTTATAAATTTACTCTAAAATTAATACTAAACAAATAACTTGTAATAAAAAATTATATAATAAATAATAATTTAATACTTATTTATAGATAAAATACAATATATTATATACAGTATTTAAATAAATAAAGAAAATTGAAGTCATATGAAAATTATTTTATAAATTATATATAAGTCATCTATGAAGTCATTATTAGTCAAAAATTTATTTTAAAATTATAAAATTTAGCTTTTGATTAGTTTTTATTAAATAAAATAATATTTCAATGATTCAGTAAAATATATATACAGTTTTACTGATTTTTTGACAAAAAATAAAAATCTTATTATTATTATTAAAACTTTACTCAAAAAAGTTATTTTAAAAATAGTATTGAAATTTAACTAAAATATTGTTAATAATAATAAATATCTTAAAATTTGCGCTTTTATTATATGATGTAAAAAGAGTACGTTATATATGAATGGAGTCTAAACAGTAAAGTATTGATGAATGAGACGACTGTTGCCATCAATTGACGGCTAAAACAAACACTAAAGCATTGAATTGTAATTAATTGTAAACAAAACACAAGTTTTAACAAAACATTCATTAAATGCATTGATTTTATTCAAACAAATGTCACGACTTTTATGTGAACAAAGTGTGCGCCACGTATTGGCCGCGCGTCAACTCACGTGCATATCGTGGCCAATGTATGAGTCAGTTCGCCATCATTTAAAGCGCCGAAAGAAAGAGCCGATACGCAAACCAATTTGGACACCGATAGCGCCGTCCAAACTGTTTCGCATCCGAAACAAACCCGAACTGACCGCCGATGAGAGTCAACAAAGACAACATTTGGAGTACAACTATGCGTTGAGTGTCAGATCTATTACACACTATTTCAAGCATGAGTTTTATGATCCGACTCTTTCTGGTGGCGGTCTTACAGATGAACAGATCAGATTGGAGGCAGAAAATCAACAGAAATTAATTAACGAAAATAACAAAGAAAATGAAAGAATTGCTGAAATAAGGGAACAAAGGATGAAGACTTTGCAACAGTTGGCCGATCAAAGAACTATTGTTCAGTTCTTGGAACACACGGAACAAATGAAACTAAAGGGCAAAGAGTTGGACGAAAGGGTCAGACAAGAGATTCAGAGATCCGAGACATATATTACACTCGAGACTCTGGACGCGACCATCGAAGAAGCGCTTACTCATCCGATTACATATGATTTTGCCATTGATAACAACGGCAACATATACTCAGACCAACCGTTACATCCGTATGCTCTGAGGCCAAGTGATACACCCGATCACAACTCTAATATTGAAGAGATGACCAAAATCGACGAAATTGCCACCAAATTTGAATCCAAAACTTTTTATTAAAATCATTAAATGATTTAAACGATTCAATAATAATAATCGATTTTCAATTTATTATATTGTTTATTGTCATTCATTGCATGTTATTATAAATTTGTTTTTTGAATTTATATAGTTTTTGTGATGTATTTACTAATCTTATAATCTATTCATTAAAACTACTAATAAATAAATTAGTTTTTTATCTATTATATAAAAACAAAAGTATCGCATATTATTAGAAAAGCCCAAAAATGTTCTAAAAAAGGTCCCAAAATGATTACCATATGTTTATCTACCGTAATATAAACTACTTAATTGCTACTGAAAACAATTATCATATTTTTATTATTTAATTTACAGACTTTTTAGTATGAAATTTAAATTAAGGATTTTAATGGACCTATTATTTACGGTAATAAGACTTTTACTTTATAAAATCGTTTTGATTTTGCATTAATATACAGTAATAACAAAAGTTAAATATATTATTTGATTTACTGTTTGATTTAGTTATGATTTAGATAATGCTATTATTATTTTTACTGACATTAATGTCACTTTTATAATTAGCCATAAATGAGTTGTTATTATTCTTTATGAAATCATTAGTTGGTTTTAATGATTGATTAATTTGTTGATTACTATTGAAAAGCCAGAGCCGATCGCCAACGAAGAGGGGTCGGGCAGTGTGTAGTCCGACGGACTGGTAGTAGTGTTGTGCCATTTGCTCCAAATCATTGGTATACTTGCGCTTCCATTTGGTCCTAAATAAGTGTCAAATTTTATAATTTCAATTTCTTTATTAATTGTTGTGCTATTTTTAATTTATTTTACCTCCGATTTTGAAACCAGATTTTGATCTTTTAATAAAAATACAGTATATATAGAAATAAAAGTACCGTAAGTTTAGTTATTATAAAAAATAACATTTCTAATAATTAGATTTTAAAAATGCAATAATAAGTGGAAAAATTGGTATTAATTACTTGAGTTTCGGTTAATGACAATAGTTTAGACAATTGTAACCTTTTAGAGACCGAAAGATATTTGTTTTTATCAAACTCTGTCTCTAATGTCTTGATTTGATTTGCTGTGAATGAAGTTCTCGGTCTCTTCTTTCGTATTTCTCTTTCAATCATATCTTTAGTTATAAATTAATTATTAATTAAAAAAAAAGAATTAAATATCTTATTTAAACATTATTTCCTATAAATTTTAATAATTTATTAATAATTTAGATTAACTTTTTATGGTATAAAAAATTAAGTAATATTTTTATCACATAAGCAATAAATACCTGTATATAATACGTTGTATAAATTATATGGTGTGTGTATGTGTGTAAAGTATTTATATATTTTTTTATTTATATTTAAATTTTTATTAATTTAAATTTTTAATGTTATTACCTTTAAGGCTTTTTAAATAATTAAACAATAAAAATGGTTAATTTTTGATTGCATATTTGAAAATTATAAAATATCAGATTAATTTTGTTAAAAATTATTTTTAAAATCAAGTATTAAAAATGTTATAAATTTTAAATATTTATTATTGAGATTTTTATTATGAGTTACAAAAATGTAGTTATATTTCTTAAATGGCAAAATTATTTAATAAATATCTGTGAATTTAATTACGTTAATGCTATCGATCACTATTAGTACTGCATTTAAAGCATAAAAATATAAATATATCAATTTTGAAATACAATTATTGTTAACAATGAATAATTATATTTATTACAATTTCACAGAATAGATAATCATAATTTATTTGTAACAAAAATTAGATTATTATACAATACTTTTTAAGATTTGTAAATTAATTAATAATATAAATATTGTTAAATAATATTTAAGTAAAAAATATAATTCATATATTATATATAATTGAAAATTAATAAATCATGACAACTATTAAATAAATATTAATTTACTAATATAACTTAGAATATACCATATTAATTAAACAGATTGATAACTATAATAATATGTATTAAAATAAGTTTTAATAATTTTTATACATTATTAACAAAAATGTAATCAAATTAAGAATAAAGTTAATTACTATTATTATTATTATTGTTATTATATATTACTAGTGAATATTATTTAAGTAAATATAATACAAATAATACAAATGAAGTTAAGTCGTGCTTTAAATATTTGTTTTTAAAACATATAATTAGTAAAAAAACTAGTAATTAATTAGTAAATCTTAATAGTAAAGTGTCGAAAACAACGAGTAGTTCCTCGTTTATAGTCAATGATACCTAACATTAATGATAACCTAAATAATCATTCAATTAACTGTAAAATTTTCTAATACTTTCATTTTTTATGTTAAAAACATTTATCAGAGATGGCAATGCATTACTTTTATATTTATTACTTTATACTCTACCTGTAAATACAATATAACAATACATTTACTGTACAATACAGTATTATATATATATTAATTAATTAGTATTGTGATGATATGAATTATGATATTAATATTATAATAATAAAATGTCATCAGTTAGTTTGCTAAAGTTTTATAAAATATAATTAATTAATATATACTGTATATAGTTATATCTGTTTATAGTTATTTTTAAATAATGTTTTTTTATAATATAGTATATTATATTATTATACAGGTACAATAATCTTAACATACAACTAGAGTTATTATTTTTTGATTAACTATTTTTTAAAACAATATTTACGTATTTAAATATTTCTATTAGTTTTTTACAATAACAATATAAGTTATTAAAATTAAGTAATTATACACTAAATATGTTTAATTTGTTTGCAGTAAAATAAAAAGTGATTTTATTTTATTATATATTATATTTGTATCACAATTAATATAAATTTTAGAATTATATACTTTAAATTTTAATTATTGTTTTTATATAAGATTTATAAAATAATTAATTAGTTAATATATATAAATTGTATATTTATATAATACATACCACGATTTGAAATAGATTTGTATGAATCTTTAGAAAGCAGTTTGTTTTGAGAGCAAACTTCCAAATTTAAATCATTATTTCCTTTATTATTATTATTATTATAAATATGCATAAAATCATAATTATTTATTGAATTTGTTTTACATTTTTGTAAAATATTATCAATGAAAAACTCATTATTATTTGCTAAATCTTTTATAAAAGTTTGTGAAACTTTGGTCATGATTTTATGAATCAAATATCATTTAACTTATTTATTTAATTAATGATAACAATTTAAAAGACTTTTAGTTCAACTGTTAAGCTTGACTTAAATGATTCAATTGATAAGATAAACAATTATGTGAATAAACAGTTGATTTTGATGGCAAAGAGATGATGTCTCTGATGGACTGTTTTTAAAGTCGATGCCAACTACTCCTCCTTACATAAAATGCTGTCATTCAGTATTGCTTAATGAATGTCATCATCGGTTTGAATATATATACTATATCTTTGACACCCTATGTAACGACCAATTAAGTCAATCTAAACACTATTGACTCTCTCTCTCTCTCTCTCTCTCTCTCTCTCTCTCTCTCTCTCTCTCTCTTAAAAAAACTCATTAGTGACTGTTTTTCATTATAATTAAAAGTTTCCGAATAAGAAGGATAGTTAGTTTTTGGGACAGTTATTGACAAATGAGATAATTTTGGTTCATTTTCAGGCAATAACAAAATTTTAACAAATAATTTAAGTTTAATTCTAAAATATTTAGCATATACTATATATTTATTATTTTTTATTTGGATCCATAATCCTCTTTAAAAATTTAATTACTTTTGTATTGATTGGTACAGTATTTCTTAGATATATATTTATATATCGGGATTCAGTTGTGTGTATTGCTGTCAAACATCTCAGAGTTAGTTAGCAACATATGTGAGGCAAACAGTCATTGAATGTCACATCAATTTTATGTGTATTCATGTGTTTTCGCCTATTAGTGATACTATTTTAGAAAACAGTAGTTAATTGGAGAGTTTAGTTTGAGTTAATAGTGGATCTGGCAATATATACAATATATACATAACTGATAGTATAAAATAAGTTTGATTTTTCTGGATGTTTTCAAAGTTTACTTAAGAAATGTTAATTAATCATCTTTTCAGCGCTTTAAACACATTATTGAGGACTCATTTGTAAATTTATTGACTTTAAAAACTGAAAGAGACTGTTATAATCACTGGAAATAGTTTTCTCAAATTGTGGTGTATTGTAGTCAATACCTACCAGTGCTACTGATTTAGTGTCATTTAATGGTATCTTAAGTGCACAACTTATTAGTGCTTAACAACACTAATCGTTATCACAAATCCACATCTATTGCTTAGTTTTTACTGCAATTTTGTTTTTTATTTTGTTTAACTGAAAATTTCACTAATAAAATGAATAAATAATTGCAAACAAAATTTAAATGCATTACTCGTTTTTGGAGCAATTGTTTCAAAAAAATTATTTTATTCAGTTTGAGAAACGCATAAAACACATAAAATTTTTATAATTTACGTTCAAATAAGCTGAAGAAAAAAGTCATTAAAATGACATTTTGCTTATTTCAGTGAATTTCAATGCATGAAAGCAACTGTGCCTTCAATTGTCTCAATCATTCAAACTATATTATGATATCATTTAAGTTTCTCAAATATATTAAAATATAAAAATCACAACTATCACTAAATTTCAGTAAAATATTAAATCAATTTTAACGATTTGATATTTACTCATTTTTTTTAAAGAAAAACAGTTATGTTTTCATTACTTACATTTGCATTACATTTGCTTATATTTAACACAAAAAATATTTTTAATTTTGTTTATAATTTTATACAATTTACTTTTTAATAGGAATATTAGTTAATTTAATTAATTACTTCGATATTTTTTTAATTATATTTTTATTTGTGGATAAAAAAATATAGAAATAACAAGTTGTTTATTAACGGCAATGAATAATAATTAGAGTTATTTTAAACCAAACTTTGCTAATGAATATAACAAATGGTTTGTATGTTAAGCCAATCACAGCAAACACTAATTGAGACGATTTTCTAATTAAAGATTACTCAAAAAACTAACCAAAAAACACATTAATTTTTGTTAAAAACACCACAATATTGTTTTTACTCTAAAAATTGGTTTTTACCGGCACTCAAATCTAAATTAATTAAAAATTACATAATATTTATTTTGAAAATTAAAGATTTAAATGTTATACTATTTTAATTTGTATAATACATCTATTATTGTTGAATTTTGTGTGTGATTAAAAATTATTAGTAAACTGTATTAAACCTTTATGCATTTTTAATATTTAAAAAATTATCATAACAAATTAACAAAATCAAAGAAAATTAATTAACATTTTAAAGTTTAAATTGAAATAAAATAGTGATTTAAAATTTTTTAAAAAACATAACTAATAAATAAAAAAGAAATTGTTGTATGATTTTTGAAGAAACTGTACGAACAAAGTAATGTATTGTAAGCTTACAATATATTTTGAATTCATTTTTATTAATAATTATGGTATTTGGAGAAATACTTTACATTAATTTGCATTTAAGTTTTTTCAACTTATTTTTTAACTGCAACTACAACTGTTAATACTTCAGAGACAACCATTAAATAAATTGCAAAATTTTTATGATTTATATAATAAACGTTTTTCATTTTTATTTATTATTTAAAAAATATAAATTTTAAATAATTTTTGTTTATCAATGAATTTCAATAGTTTTTTCAAACGAAACAAATATCTTCAGCAATAGTATATATTTATAATGCTTGCTATTCAATGAATGGATAAATCAATCAACAAATATATGTCAAAGATATTTGTGTTGTTTTGTGATTTTTTTGCATTGATTTTAAGTCAAACATTAAGAAGTCTATTGAATGGCATATTGTTATACAACGGAATCGATGGTGTATTTGGTGGCAATCGATCACAATTCAAGGCAATCATCATTAAACTAGACATCACTGTTGTTCACATGTTTTTCCCTTTTAGTTGTATAATATTCGTAGTCATTGAGCAAAGTATTACTTATAATGAGAGAAATGGATACTAGAGTTAAATGTGATGGCCATCAAAGGCTTTATAATAATAACTTAAGATAACAAGTA